TAAAGTAAAGTTTGGCTCACCCGATGACAGGCTTCCTATCCGTCTCATCGAAGGAAGTTCCTGCGTAACCCACAACGCCGCCTGCTGGGCCGGACAAGATCGCACGAAGACCAGTGAATCTATAGGGATTAGCAACATTCCTTTCCTGTATTCCAGGTAATTCTCAACATACTTTTCAAAATTCGCCAAACCTCCATCACTCTGCATAAATTCGCAGCGGGTATCGGCAGAGCTGAGTCCGTCCTTGAATCCCGAGCGGAAGCCTTGAATATAACGTTGAATGACTGGTGTCAAGTATGCATCTGCAGTAGCCGAAGCACCACGAGAAGTCATCTTAATCATCGGCAAAAGTTGGCTGGAAAGGGAGATTTGGGTGAACCCAATTTCTTTTGCGATCTTCTCAATTGCAAGCTCATGGTCTTGGAATGTGTATGAGTGAACCAAACAGACCGCAATGGAGCGATAGCCCTTCTCATACAGCTGTTCAAGATTCTGTCTTGTGCCTTCTTCATCAAGAGGTTCCAGGATGCGAACCACTTCCCCACTGACACCCTTTTTCAAACAGGTATTTGACTCTAAAGACTTTTGCAGGCTCTCTTTGTCTGGGGTGGGGTTCTGCTGATAGTCCTCAATTGTGACACGCTCATCAATCTCGACAACATCCTCATACAAGACATCAGGACGTTGAATGTTGAGCGCGAACAACTTTGGCCGAGACTGGGTTCCAATCAGTAGGGCATCTTTGAATCCCTTTGTGATCAAGAGCGCATGACGTTCTCCCTTGCGCTCGAGCAAGGCGTTAGTAGCAACTGTTGTGCCCATGCGGATGCTGACATTGGAGAAATCGGCAGTCGTGAGCTTTTGGTCCCGGGGGAAAGTCTTGCCTGTTGCTTGCTCCAGAATACGCCGAATGCCCTCAATCGGAGCATCGGCATAGTTGGCTGGATCTTGCGAAAGCAGTTTGACGACGATTTCCTCATCGCGACCATCAACAATACCTAGACAGTCGGTGAAAGTACCACCACGATCTGGAAGACGTATTAGCTATTTGCTACATCATATGAATTTTAAAATTGCAAGTTACTCACCGATGGCGATCTTGATGCTCGGAGCATCTGATTGAGAAGACATGATGTGCGATATGTTCAGATTCCCTGTGAATGCAGGGACCAAGGCTTCCTTTTATGGATCTCCATTGAGACTAATCAGCAGGTCGAAGCGAAGCAACTTATCAAAAAACTAGCGCCACAATCTAATCGAATCGGTTGGTGAATGCCGAGACAAAGCGGGGAGAGAAACGCGGAGATGCACCGCTTATCAGTCGCTCCGACCTTCCTGTCACACCCAAACCCTAATTCATTTTACTTTTCATGATAACCACCTGAGTAACTCTCTTTAACGTTCACTTATGCTCAAGTGAAGTATAAAGCCATCCCAAATGACTATCTCCTTCGTTTTGGATGTGTACATGTTCCTTTTTACCTAATATATCCAATTATATACTTCAATACTATGGCAGACGAAAAACAAGTCACCCCTCCGGAGCCTCAACTTGCACTTGATCAAGAAAAGGCCCAGGCAGGAGAAATCCTCGAAGCCCAAAACCGAACCGATGGCAAAGATGTTGCCGCGCAATTCCTCGCTCGCCTTGACCCAGCCATTGCAGTGGAACCTGTCACCGAGACCGAAGCGCGCCGCGTGCTTTGGAAAATCGATCTGATCCTCATTCCCTTGATCATGGTTACAGTGGTTTTGGCTGCTATTGATAAAGTCATCATCTCGAACGCGGCCATCTACGGCATGAAGAAAGACACCCACTTGACTGGCGATGAGTACTCCTGGGTAGGCTCAATCTTCTATTTTGGATACCTCGGCTTTGAGTACCCTGCGGCGCTTCTCATTCAGCGACTTCCTGTGGCCAAGCTGTATGTTGGCATGGTCTTGGGGTGGGCAGTTCTGCTACTGTGTACTGCGGCAACGCAGAATTTTGCTGGCTTAGCTACAGTGCGATTCTTGATGGGCATGACGGAAGCCGCCGTGTTTCCAATTTCCAGCATTTTGACGGTTATGTGGTGGAAGACAAGTGAGCAGCCACTCCGTGTCGCGTTTTGGTTTAATCAGCTCTCCTCCGTCTTCTCGGGCTTGGTGAGCTACGGTATCGGCCAAACAAACACGTCATTAGCACCCTGGAGATTGCTCTTCATTGTGTTGGGTGCATTCTCCCTCCTCTGGGCTGGTGTGTTGTACATATTCTTGCCTGATTCGCCCGTGCAATGCTGGTATTTCTCTGATCGCGAGAAATTCGTCTGCCTCGAGCGCGTCAAAGACAACAATACCGGCATGGAAGACAAAACCATCAAGTGGTACCAAGTGCGCGAGTGCTTAAGCGACCCCAAGACTTGGCTTCTGGCGCTCTTTTCGCTGGCCCAAAACATCCCCAACGGTGGTCTGGTGACCTTTTCGGCTATTATCGTGACTGGTCTAGGGTATTCCCCATTGATCACTACCGTGCTGGGTATCCCCACCGGTGTGCTTGCAACGGTGTGGCAGATCCTGCTGGGCTTTATTGCTGCTAGCGTGCCTAACTCCCGTTGCAACATTATCGCTGTGGCCAATCTCGTCCCCATGGTCTGTGCCATCCTAATGTGGAAGCTGCCTCGTGAGAACCAGCAAGGTCTTCTGGCAGCATACTACGTCTTCTACACCTACTGGGCGCCATACGTGCTGTCGACTTCGCTTCCAATGGCCAACACCAGCGGCCATAGCAAGAAATTGACTATGAACGCCATCTTCTTCTTGGCGTATTGTATTGGAAACATCATTGGTCCCCAGTGTTTCCGTTCCGGCGACGCACCATCGTATTCGCGAGGATATGAGGGTCTGCTCGGTTGTCTAGTTGTGGCTATAGTCGCTATCGTTTCCTATGGAGTTCTTTGCCGATGGGAAAACAACCGCCGTGATAAGGAAGCCCAGTCAAATGTGGAGACATCGGAGGTTGTTGCATTTTCCGATCTGACTGATAAAGAAAAACGGTCTTTCCGGTATACTTATTAGGATAGGGAGTGTGTGGACCTTGGGAGATGTGGGTTATTGATAAGGATATGGATATAGTGACAAATAAGACCTTGAATTGGATATGTTATCTTTTTTAGCATAGTTGTTACCTATGTTGTAGGTTGTCTCTGAGTAATTTTAAGTAATCTTAATTGTCAATCCCAAATCCATGGAATCAGCAATTAAGCGCCTCGGCAGTTTTTTAGTTGGGGAAATGTTGGGGTAAAAGAAGGTCGAAACGAACACCCTCGTAACTCTCTCCACTCGGAGAATCTCCGTCCCCCGAGCTTTGAGATCTTTATCGGAAGGTCAGAACGAAGCAGTAGACCCCTCCCCCGCAGACGATAACATCTTCGAAGATGAAGATGGTTGTGCGCGAGGAAGCTGGTAGCGAGATCAGATTCTCGAATGAAGGCAGGACGGAGCAAAATGTCTCAATAAATATGGCGGCGCCACCCCTCAAAGTTTGAGAGGTTAAGCCAAATCGCAAAAGCAATTCAACTCACATGATGGACAAAGACACGCGAATCCTCATCGTCGGAGCCGGCTGCTTCGGCACTTCGACCGCATACCACCTTTCACAGCGCGGTTACACTTCCATCCGCGTGCTGGACCCATATGCACCTCCCTCCTGCGAAGCAGCCTCCACCGATATCAGCAAGGTCATCCGCAGTGACTACAACGAACCTCTATATGCACGTCTTGGAATCGAATCTATTGAAGCATGGCGGTCCTGGCCCCTGTTTCGTGGGCTCTACCATGTCCCAGGGTGGATTCTCAGCGCGGCGAACCTGTCCCGGCCCTTTGTCGAGGGTTCGATTGAGACATGTAAGAGGCTTGGGGTACAGGGTCTTGAGAAGCTCACGCCGGATCAGATCCGTACTCGCTTCTCTGTTGTCACGGGCAAGCTGGATGGTTGGAATATAAACGTGTGGAACCCAACGGCCGGCTGGGCAGCTGCTGGGACAGCTATCGAGCGGATGGCAGGCGCTGCTCAGGAGAAAGGGGTGAAGTACATTTCGGGGAAGACGGATGGGAATGTGCAAGAGTTGATACTGGATGATATTACGGGGGAGTGTAAGGGAGTTGTCACAGCGGATGGCACGAGACACGAGGCGGATGTGGTCATCCTGGCGGCAGGAGCTTGGACACCTTCACTACTAGACGTGAAGGGCCAGTTAACTGCCAAGGGACACAGTGTGGCTCATATCCAGCTTACCCCTTCCGAAACGAAACACTATGCCTCGATGCCCATTATGGATAACCTCGAGCTGGGCTACTTCTTCCCACCTCAAGAAGATGGGATTTTCAAGATCGCTCACAGTCAATTCATCACCAATGTGCAAACCACCAAGTCTGGCATCACCACTTCTGTCCCACACACGTTCGTTCAGGCACCCACCGATGGCCTCCCTCTTGAGATTGAAGCCCAAATGCGCCGGAACCTACGGCGTGTGCTACCCGAGCTTGCAGACAGACCCTTCTGCTATACACGGCTATGCTGGGATGCTGATACAGCTGATCGGCATTTCCTTGTCACCCCTCATCCTACTCACAAAAGCCTCTTCCTGGCAACCGGTGGATCGGCACATGGGTTCAAGTTCCTTCCTATCGTTGGAAAATATGTCGCGGATTTGCTGGAGGGGACTCTGGACCCAGAGATCGTCAGTCAATGGCAATGGAGGGCTGGACAAAAGAGTACTGCGAAGAACCTTGCGCATTTAGATCCGGAAATGGAGCTGAGCGACCTTACAGGGTGGAAGGGTAGACAGATACGTGAAAGAAGCCATGCTTCTAAACTATGAGTTGCCCAGATAAGAGGTGGGATATTGAAGGAAGTCGAACAATTAGCATATATTTTGACTGTCGGCTATACAAATTGAGATAATCTCCCTAGAATATATACAAGAGAACATAAACAAAAGCCTATATTACCACGTAGAAACTCAAGTCAAGCTGAGTTTCCACCCACCCAACATGACCATGGCATGCTCCCACGAGAACCGGGTTTCCTGCAAGGGATCTTTCTGCCGCTGTGCACTGAGCCTTTTCTGGAGTCTTCTTTCATCCTGCACCGACAGATCCCGCTGGCGCCAGACCATTTCGACAACTTCAATCGCAGGGGTAATGTTCTGAGGAACAGTGAGGTGTTAGCCAACTATTAGGGAAAGAGATAGAAGAATATACATACCCCAAATCGACGAATATCCTCCAGCTCTTTAAACAACTGTAATACAGTGACCCTCTCCTCTTCCCTGTGAGCACAACACCCTGCCAGGAAAAGAGGCCATAAAGGCGTAACTGCAGTACGCATCATATTTACCTTCTTTTCCAACACCAACGTCAATATCCGTTCAACATAAACATTCTTCTCCTCAGATTCCACTGTCGGGATACCAGAGCGATTAATAGGTGCTTTAGTTGAACAGATCTCGTGGAGAAGAAGAAGGGCCCCGAGCCTGTTCGCTTCTGCGATTGCGGCACACTCCATGTTAGGATCGATATTTTCCGTGGGTATCTTTTGTTGAAGGCTATCAAGGTCCGTCTTGAGTTGATGAGCATCTTTACGGTTGATTTTTATGTTGCCATCCTCACAAGCCCACGCTAGTTCTGCTACTTGATTGATCATCAATAGGAGAGCAGGGCTCAATCCCATGTACGGATCAATCGTGTCTGATTTTTCCAATATACTGTCCGGGAGAAGAGGCGATATATGAGATGAGGGAGGGGTGATGCGAAACGCAGTGCGGGCTAGAACTAAGTGGAAGGCGAAGTAACGATTGAAGAAACTGGCCAGATCTTGACTGTGACATGAGCGACCGGGGCGTTCTTTTCGTGTCCGAATTAAATTTTGGAACCCGTTGAGATGGGTAACCCATGAAGGGCGACTGTTATCTGAGATCTGCAGGGGAGTTAGGAGACTCTCATCGTCAAGGAAGCAAGGAGGATCCTACGTCAAACCAGCATAACATTAAGACCAGTCCAAGCATCTCATCCAGCTCATTTTCCGCCCAGTCGTCTTTATTCAATAGACCGCGCAGGTGATTTAATGCCCGATGATGATGCTCCAATGCCGGAAGCCGGTACCGCTGATCTGACAGCTTGAGTGTATTGGCTGCGATGGCTAGGGCGGCATGATATAGTCCCTGGGACTGCAGGGCCATGGGTAGTATGAGATATCGATATGGATTGTAATGTACATTATCGACGAGAGTTGAGCTGCTGCAGATGATGTGTTCGAAATAAGACATGAGCACAGGATCGCAATCTGATCGCTGGCCAGGAGGGATGGTATTCAGCCAAGGCGACAGCGGGCTTGGTTGTGAAAACGGTTTCATGCCTTTGTAATTGGGCTGGGTGCCGTCAAAATGGATCTGGAGATCGATCATAGTCGTATTTAAAAACATCCAGGTCCGATCAGCGCCTGTGTACTCTGACTGTAGTGATAACCCATCGTCCACTTGCTCCAGTGATTCTCTCTTTCGAGCATCTTTTCGCTTAGACCATACCCCCCGTTCTTCCATGGCAAACACCTCGGGCTAAAGATTCCTCATGCCAGACCAGACGGAGTCCGTATCCGCATGGAGCATTGTTACGGGCGCAACGACGGCAAATTGGATGTGTTTCTAACAAATTTTTAATTAGAACCGCGTGGATGCAGGAGCATAATAGGAAATTACCATCGCATTTTATGCGTCGTGCACGACATGTCCAACAGCCTGTACGAGCTCTTGAAATTGCAGTCATTCTTCGTTTTACCCCGCATGAGAGGATATTCATTCCCCCCTGATATACGGAGTACGGAGTATTATTTATATGCGGGTCAAAGCGATAAGTATTCCCAGTTTTATTGGCATTCGTATCTTTTGATTCGTTTTCATTCGCTAGTATCTCCACTTTCGGCTTTATCTTTTGGTTTAGTCTAGAATCTACCAACTTATAGGGCTAGAGGACGTTATCAGCCACCAACCTCCTTGGCTTGAGAAGACCCAGTTCCTTGCAAATGTCCAGACCAGCCATGTACAGATCTTCGACATGATCCAGGAAAAGGAAATCAATGATTAATTTCTTCTCGGTATGAAAGTCTTTTTTAGCGAATCTGATACAGACCCTACCACCACTTTGACAATATCACTCAAACCTGCTAACTCAATCAGATTCCAGACTCCAGAGACTCAGGCCTTTCTGCGTTTCCCTGCAAGCTTGATGCATATGATAGTTGAATTGTGAGCTGGGCAGCTCATCCAAAACATGATGGTTGTATACGTAGTCTCCAAGGGCAACCTCTCACTCTTTGGGATTGATCGTGGTTTTTATGGATGAACTATTTAACTGCGAGGTCTTTGGAGGGTAGCATGTTGTCTAGTTTCTGAGGGTAAGTCAATAGGTAATTATATCAAAAGTACCATTCACAATGCAATAATAATGCAATAATAATGCACCTCGGCCTCGGGGAGCATAAAACATCTCACGCCGAGGCTCATTTCGCGACACAAATATCGCAAGAATGCTACCTAAATTAATGGAAATTCAGGATCATGCAGAATACATTCATAAAATAATAAAACAAACTGCAGTGTTGGACCAGGGTCTTCGGTACGTCGGATTCAACACTGCATTATACACGGGTATAAACCCCCCCCCACATATAATCCGCCTCCCTCCCAGGGGCATCCATCTCCAGATTCTCCACATCGACCCCCAACAAAGCTCACTATGGGTTTCAGTACTGCGTCCGAGTTTGATCAGGTAAATATTGTCCATACTATTCCATGCCATTGCTTATATTTTCTAGGCATATGAAAGTGTGCGGGGTGCTTTTGCATCTGGCACCACCAAGAATAAGGAATGGAGGCGTCGTCAACTGAAACGTGCTTGGTGGATGATTGAGGACAACAAAAAGCGCATATGTGACGCCCTCTATACCGATCTGCATAAACACTATCAAGAAGCCTACACGGGTGACTGTGGTAATACTCAAGCAGATATTCTACGCACTCTCAAAAAACTGGATGAGTGGACCAAGGATGAGAGACCGGAAAAGACCGATCCTCTCAACTTCCTAGGAGGAGCTACTGTCCGCAAAGAACCTCTTGGTGTGACTCTGATTATCGGCGCATGGAATTTCCCGGTCAGTCTGCTCTTGCAGCCAATGGTTGCCGCGATTGCTGCTGGATGTGCCGTCATTCTCAAACCATCGGATGTGGCAAGTGCTACTCAAGATGTATTGATGGAAATTGTTCCCCAATATATGGACCAAGATGCGATCCGGTGTGTTTCCGCTGGTCCACAGGAGATGGGATACATCCTTGAACATCGCTTTGACCACATTTTCTACACTGGATCCCCCAATGTTGCCAAGATCATCCATGCAGCAGCGGCAAAGCATCTAACCCCCGTCACACTCGAGTTGGGCGGTCAGTGTCCTGCTATTGTTGCAGAGTCAGCGGATCTCGATCTGGCCGCAAAACACATTGCCGTTACCAAATTCATGAATGCTGGGCAGGTAGGCTCACCACTGTTCACCCCCAGCCATCAAAAGCTAACTAACCTTGACTCTGCACACAGGTTTGCTTGAATGTAAACCATGTCCTCGTCCACCCAAGCCTACGAGAGCGCCTTGTCGCTGATTTGAGTCGACACTTTGACACGTTCTTAGGAGGCAAAGCCAACAACCCAGAGTATTACACGCACATCATCAACGAGCGCAACTTCGACCGCCTTGACAGTCTACTCGAGAAGACCTCCGGAAAAATCGTCTATGGTGGCCAGCGGGATCGTCAAAGTCTGTACTTCGCACCAACGATCGTCACCGGAGTCAAGCCCGGCGATGCCCTTCTTTCCGAAGAGCTTTTCGGTCCAATTCTCCCCATTGTCGATGCAGACTTCGACACCGCTATCTCTCAGACGCGTGCGGGAGAGCATCCACTCGCGATCTATGCATTCACTACTCAAGCTGCCGAAAAAACTCGCATCTTGAACGAGACCCAGTCCGGTGGTATTACCTTCAACGACTGCGGCCTCCATGTAGCCGGTCGTGATGTGCCATTTGGCGGTGTTGGGAACTCCGGCCAGGGACGTTATCATGGCCCGCATGGTGTCTTGACCTTCTCCCACCTCCGTACACACATCAACGCCGTGCCTTCGTGGTTGGAGGGGCTTCTTGCTGCACGGTACCCCCCGTACTCGGTCCAGAAGGCCCACAAGATGATGGCACCCGTCACCCCACCTTTTGACCGGGACGGCAATGACACGACTTTTGCTGTTAGCTCGAAGTGGGCCTTTGGCGTTGGGGTTCTCGCACTTTCTACATTGCTTGTGACTCGACAGGATCAGATTATCACCTTCGGTTCTAAGTGGCTAAAGTAATTTTTATGTATTGTATGTGTAGCAAATGAAACCAGTCTTATCTTTTCTGGCTTTTTCCTACGATTATCGGTGAAATCATCTCTTTGTTTCCATTTCTTCTGAGCGGGGAAGTTCTTGGAAATTCAGGGTGGGGTATAAATCGGCAATGAAGGAGAATTTCCGGATGCCCGTTTAAGATAAGAGCGACACTGTAGACACTGCTGTACACAAAGTTAACCGGCATATTCGGAGATCACGGCGAAATCACCGGAGTAATATACCCCAGTGCCTATGTATCATCAAGCTAAACTGCATAGTAAAATTACAAAGTCAAAACGAACTATGCCGAAAGTCAAATTGAAAACAGTATAAAGACGGCAAGAGCACAGTAGGAAGTAGAGTAAAAGATACTAAGCTTCTTTTGCAAGCCACTTTTTGCCCGCCATTTCTATACCGGAACATCTCCGACACGTCATGAAGCTATCACTAGTTCTTCTGGGATTCAATGCCGTTCACAATGCCGGGATTGTCTTTGCTGCTCCACTAGACAGTTGGCCAGTCAGGTTCGGTGCGTCATCACATGCGGTGGAAATGTTCAATACTGCCATCGAATGGAATGACAAGTACTGGGATGACGAGGCCGGCTATCTGATTACCTCAACCAGTAGTCCTGGGCGCTATGACAGTCGACACTCGGCCTGGTATGCACCTCAACTGCTAGCCAGAAACGGACCAGGCGATGTTGCAAAAGCCATCCGTATCTTCGACAATGTCATCTCTGGTCAATATCTCGATCCATCTAAACAGTGGTATGGGGACTATCAACAAGCGCCTTCAGAATCGGAGCCTGGGACGCTCAAATATCCCGACGACGGTCCATACAGCTCGGTAAGTGCACGCGTTATTCCTTCACGTGCTATTTTTCTAATATGATTATCATCAAGTGGGATCCAAATATTCGCGATTTCGTGGGCTGCGCCTGGATTGTGGCCTTGAACGATTATGGTCACCTACTTCCAGCAGCAACGGTCTCCAAGGTGGAAAAGTCCTTGCATATCGCAGCCAAGGGCGATCTTTATCGTGTTGGGGGAGTTGATGGCGACAATTCTTACCCCTGTTACTCCAATCCCTGGTTGATGCGAACCATTCTCCAAAACTGGGTTGGTGCACGAGTCGGAGATGCAAACTTAACCAACGCTGGTGAGAACTTCGCACAGGAAATCTACGACCTCTGGAGTATGCACCACACATTGTCTGAATTTAATTCTCCCACATACGCTGGTGTTGCCATGTGGGCACTGGCTCTCTGGAACCAGTACGGCACAAATGACAGCTTGTTGAAGAAGTATGGCCCGGAAATGCTCAAATACAGTTGGAATGAACTCGGTCAGCTTTACAATGCAAATCTGAAGAATCTCGCCGGCCCTTGGGATCGTTCATATGGCTATGATATGAAGGAGTATGCATCTCTTACTGGTGCTGTTATTTGGGGTGTTGTTGGCCGCGAACAAGCCCCTGTCCCTCAGCAGGAGCTCGGAATGTTTCATCAGGATGATTTCGCGTTTTACCCTCTATTCGCCCTGGCAATGCCTGAAATGGTGAAATCTTTGCCTGCCGAGACAAAGACAAATTTGCTCAAATTCCCTGGAGAGCATATGTATACTTCGCAGGCTTACTCGCCGCCCTTCGACACTTATCCTCGCAATATCACTGCTTGGATGTCCAAGGATGTGACCATTGGCGCAGAAACCGTTGCCGAAATAGTTGTCGGAGGTCCTAGTATCAATCCCAGTCAATTCAATCCTGCCGTCATTCAGTGGGCTATTGACGATCATAAAATTGGCTGCATTTCACACTGGGTCACCGAGTCATCTGTTCATGCCGTGGCTGCCGCTCGGTCTTTGGACATTTCATATCCAAATGCAACATCTGCGCACGGTCCGATTTCTTTCAACTTCTTGTTCAGTGGTCTCACGGTCAACAACGGGTTCAATGTAACTGGACTGGAAGGTCTACCTGGTTTGAATGTCAAGGTTTCGACAAACGCACAACCGGAGTATACGATTACCTACAACACTGATCACTCTGTGAACGAATTCGTGTTTTACAACATCACTTACACGATGCCCGAGAATTTCACTGGGGTACCATTTGTGTCTCTTGAGGTGGTTTGAGCCTATATATATGAACTATATGTTATACAATTTGGTGTTTAATGTCATTATCAATTTCATGCGCTATATGATTCAGAATCCGTATATACAGAATCACATATCCCCTCAACTCCGGGGAATTACTCGTCCTTTTTCTCCTCCTCGGGCTGACCCTCTCCACTAGTCGACTCCGATTGCGTCTGAGGAAGCCAAAAGCGTGCAATCATACCTCCCAAGAACCGCTGATCAATCCACTTAACCAAACCATAGAGAATCCAACCCCAGCCCCACAGAGACATGCCCATCATGCTTGTGACCAACAACACCGGACCAAGAATGAGCAACGACAGCACAGCCCAGAGCAGTATCGATACTGCAGCGAAGACAAAAACACCAGCCAAGAATACCAATAGAGGAACTCCACAGCAAATCATTTGACAAATGATCAAGGTTGATGCGGCAGGGCGCTTCAATGCAGCTTCATATATCGCAGCTTGACGGGGCGGAGGGAGGAGCCAGGCGACCAGTCTCTGTATACAGGACTCAAGGTAATCAAAGGCTTGGGGGAATAGAGTGGAGAACCATGTTGCGATAGTGGACCATATCGATGAAAACGAGAGATTGTTGTCGATGCCCTCGCCTTTGGGGGGAGCATCGTCGGAAGGAAATTGACCAGGGACGACAGGGTCGGTTAGGTCCTTTGTTGTTCGGTTCAGCTTTTTTGGTGCGCTTTTCTTAACCACTCCACTTGTTGTTGATTGGACTTTGTCGGCAGGAAGTTGTCCGGTCACACCACTGGTGACATTGTCGAGGGGCATTGTGAGGGCTATAGGAGTTTGTTTGTGATCAATAAAGACACAAAGATAAAGGCAAGCTGTGTTCCAGCAAATATTAGTTGGCAAACACGCTGAAGAAACGAATAAATATTAAGAGTATCTATATCGATCAGGTCAGTAACATGACGTATGGGGCGTTCTGCCAACTGGTTTGTGCCGGTATTGACTCTGCGTCACCGTTAGCCACAGAGATGGCATTTTATTCACATGAGGCTACACATCGATACATCATCGTAGAAGAAAATCGAAGCAGTAAATAATTTAAATAACGGTTATATTTAAATCAAAGATAGAATAATCTCGTTGACTATTTCGGTGGGAAAATACGGTCATAGGTGTAATGCAAAAGAACGCTATGCTACGAATCATTGGTCAGAAGTGCCATCGCGATCGTCAAACATCATGAAATCAGCATCGTCAACTTCATCTCCTACGACTCGCTTCCAAGCCTGTTTTACAAGGTCAAGGGTGTCATCTTCGAATGCCAAGTCGAGGCTCGACGGAGGGAAAACATAGCCGTTAGGAATTCTGTCCTCGGCAGTGAGATGCCGGGACTCACCATTGCCAAGACGACCGCTATGGGTGTATCGCAATGACCACAGCACACGAGCCGGGAGACCTTCTGCCCGAATTAGTCTATCCATGGCAGACTCGATAAGCGCTTGACCTTCCGGCCCAGCTAGTGCCACACTGCAATAAATAACACCTGTGACAATCAATTAGCCACTTGAACGACAATATTGCTGATGAATCAAAATTGAGGGTGCTCGTGATCAGGTGAAAAAGTTTTCAACATAGCAAGTTCAGGCAATGTAGATAAGTTTTTGAAAAAAATCATCATGCGAGCGGTGTGGGAGAACATATCAGGCAGAACTGCACAGGGGATGACTTACTCTGCTGGTGAGGACACTCGCCAGTATCACTTGAATGAACCTGGAGATAGACCGGCGGGGATTTGGGGCTGCCCAACGTGTCCCCTGGGAACATGAGAACTGCAGTTGCCGGTACAGGAGCACCTTCAACTGCAACAGGGAAAAGAGACGGGAAAGTAGCGGACACAACACTAATGGAGCGGGCAACCTCGACCAATGGTGTCGAACCTTCTTTGGAAGAAGTATCCGATATCTTTTTCGAGGTAAACAAATATTTCGACTGAACAGACCCTTCATTGCCTAGGTTCAACAGAAAAGGGTATTCGGAATGTTCAGGGCCTGTCCGCCATAAGCAATCATTAATCTGCGTGTCCAGGGCATATACGCCTCCTCCCACAGCGGATGCACGACAGGCAGCTTGCAGTATTTCAGCACCACTACCATACTTAGCAATCACAGCTCCAAACCCAGGGCCAAGATGGCCAATGGATGACAGATGTCTTTGGATCCTAGGCACAGCATAGCTGGCGGGTGTATCCTGCTGAGAAAGCTGCGACAGGGACAGCGACAGCAAAGGATTGTGAAGTTCCTCTGGGACACTGAAATTGGAAGCCAGGTAGTCGTTCAAGGGCATTGACATATCCTCGTCTTCACTTGAAGCTTCATCCTCATTGGATTTGGTGATATGACGCAATAACCGCATGAGAGTTCTCTTGGACTTCATGCTGATATGAGTTGCAGCAAACACATCCTCTCGGTTGCCAGGTACGCGGTATAAAACCTGTTCCGCACCAAGCTCACCAGTTTTAGAATCAGGCTGTTCAGGTGCGTAAATCCACCAGCTACCAACAGCCATAAACTCTAACTGACGAAAGACCTTCGAGGACACGAGCGCTGACATTAGTTGAGAACGGGCATATAAAAGGTAAGGGGACAGGGACAAAGTGTAAGCACGGCTGGATGCAAGTTTGGGGGAAATGGTTGTGTCCTCGGCTAGAGAAGAAACATCAAGTTTGAAGATTGAGGCATCTTTGAACAGTGATGTACTTGTGTCTACTTGGCGATGTCATATTAGCAATGAAGCAACCAGCCACACACAAGAGATAACTCACCTTTATTGACCTTCTCTGCCCACTCTTGGGCCTCATCAAGACTGAAGGCTGCATCTGACCCACCATAGTACTGGTTTGAGTCCATGTGAAGAACCTTCTTTCCAGATCGTGAGAGGGCCCTTTGGGAGTGTGAGTGCTCAACTCACAACCACCCTAAGAGAGTCACTCACAGTGCCAGAAGGGACTGAGAGATCCCAGTCCCATCAATGATCACATCCCAAGTCGTGTCTGACAGAGTTTCCATGGTGTTTAAAATCAGGAACGAAGTCCTAGCTGCGGGTAAGTCCGAGTATTACAGCCAAATTTGGCAGCTCAAGCTGTCATGAAGTTGAGAAGTGGGATATTTAATGCAACTGAAGCATTCCCAGTCATTCCATAAGCTTCGATGCTGGAAATCCCATCAACTTGAGGTTGTTGGGGGAAAGAAGAAGAAGAAAAGAAAAAATTGGAGAAAAACGCGGGAAGTACGCGTGAAGGCGGTCACCCGGTCCCCACTTCAGTCCACAGCCCTAGAAGGACTTCGACAACAAAAGTTTTTAAAATCGACCTTGAAGAATATTTTATAAAGGAACAATATAATGTTTTTGGCGATATTAACTCTGATTATTCTCAATGGCATGAATTATACAAAATTTTGAATATTGGGGCATGCGCTACATGAGCCTTTCTCCGTTTCTCTTAGATACCTGGTCTTCCCGGAAACATATATGCTTCAGGTGTGACTGTTATCAGCTTCCTTCTTTGCAGCCTCATGAGCTTGATCTTTCTCTTCTGCCTCTCTTTCCGTCCTTCCATCTTCACCCAGTTTCACATTCTTCAGGAACAACATCACAATTAGCATCAAGGAAAGTGAAACGAGGCCTGCAATCGCAAGTAGTCTCTGCGACTCTCGGTAGCTGCGATTAATGGCATCCCGAGCTTCAGTGCCCATGGCATATTTTCGAGCTACCACAATTGATCCAAAGATAGCATTGGCTTGACCCTTCAGCTCACTAGGAAGATATTGCTGCAGCTTGTTTGGGAGAGTGTTTCGCCATATTGCCCCGGCGACGCTATTTGAAAGTATCGGTTAGAAGGGAGTCAAACGCATGGCTGGGTGTGGCTGCTTACCTTGTGCCAATTGCACCACCCACGCTCATCGATGCGAAGAATACTGCAGTAACAACGGAAACATCCTGTCGCGAGACGACGGCCTGAACTGAGACCTGTGCAGCTGTTTGGTAGAACCCACGACCAATACCAATCAATGATTTGGCTGCCACGAAAGATGCTTCATTCCCACTGCGGCCATCTCCCATGTCTACTAGATAGAGAAGTACACCCATTCCAAGAACGCAGAGCGGAACTCCGATCAGCACCCAAATCTGGGAGCGCTTGGTATACTTCATGAAGAAAGCCGCAAATATGCCGGCCACCTGAAAGGCCACACGGAGGGAGTTACTAAACTCGAAGTCAGTCTCATGAGAAGGAAAGACAGCAGCAAGCGTAGCCAGTAAGAAATGGGGGGGGCTGTACTCAATTCTGGTTGCAGGTCCCGCCGAGAAGTTACCAGCCACCTGAAGGTAACTTGTGAAGAAGACACTGAACACTGAATAATGGAAGAAATCCAATGCCCCAAGAAGACATGCAGCAGCGACTGTGCGGTTCTTGACCATACGATAAGGCACAAATGGTTTCTTCGCAAACCACGTGTCCCAACCTAAAAACGCTATTATGAAAACAACGCCTAGGACCAGCATAGCGATAAACGACCCGTTGGTCCACGCGCCACTGTTATTAGAGCCCGTCAAGGACAAAGGAACCAAAAGGAGAGACAATCCAGCCACAAGGAGAACAGCGCCTGGCAAGTCAAGCTCAATCCAAAACAATCGGTACACCTTCTTCCACCAGGCATCGTTAGTTTTCCAGCCCAATGCCTCAGACACAGATACTGGAGATGGTGCCCGACGTTGATAAAATAGCATGGTACCGATCAATGGTAGTGATGCAACGGGCAAGATAATCGCCCACATGCCCCATCCCCACCGCCATGTTGAATGATCGAGAATGCGCTGAGCGACGATGGTACCAAGATAAAGAGTCGGAATTGTGGTGAGAGAGTCAGGTAAAGTTGACCAGATACCGCGATTGACCAACGAGGTCATATCTGCCACAAAGATTTGTTGTGTGAGGGCGAACCCAGTCGATCCGATAGCGTCGAAGATACCGGCAACCTGTGCAATACAACAACCATCAGCACGGGGTAAAATACTTGGCGAATCCAGAGGGAAGGTCTCTCACTATGTATTGCGTAATGTTCGTGCAGGCTGCCCAAATGGCATAACCCAAAACAGACATCAGAATGGACAAGATGAACATTTCAGCTCTACCAAAAACCTAGCCATCATGGTAAGCAAGATAAAACTTTGGAAGACTCGATAATACTAACATCGCCCAACTTTGCAACAACGGGATAGGCGGAAATACGCGCAATGTTCATGACCACCCGGGCTGCACTCATGGCAGAGTGCTGCTTGAAGTCACTGGTTGTGTATGCAGCGTACACCTGGGTTGAATAATCGGCGAAATTGATAGCCAATGTGCACAAAAACAGTCTGGCCAACTATTAGTAAATGAATCTGCTGTGTAATCTGTCTGCATGGCATACCCTGTAAAGACAATGATCAAGCCTTGCTTAGTCCAGGCCTTTCGAAGCACATCAGCCCTATAGACTCCAGGCTGAAGGCTGGAAAGGCTTGGTTGTTTTTCGAGGTTTCCCTCCTGGTGAACATTCTCATCAGCTTGAATGCTATCATTGTTTGATGGTGCCACCGCAATGGACATGTCCCCTTCTTGCTTGGCCATGGCCGTAGTCGCATATATTTACGGAGTAGTGAAAGTGCATATTTTTTTCTCGGAAAATGGATACAGAGAGTATTTAAATAAAACACCTTAATCCTCGAAAGTAAAACGAAGCCGGATTTTACCGCACTATACACATAACTACATTAAAAAAAAGGCAAGAACAGTAGCGCTACGCCGAATAGCTGGAAAGGATTGGAAGACCTAACTTGTTCGCCCCACACCGGCTTTCCTAAGAGAAGTAGACAGGCATTCTTAACCCGCGAATATTACCTAGGTATATAAAAAGGTGGAAACCAAACCTAATCTTATCAATCATATGCCAGAAAGAAACCCGAACTTTGCCCGAAACAGGTAATTGAGACGAGGAGAGACGCGTCCCCTCGTATTTTACAAAAATGCCAAGATGGCCAAGATGGCCAAGATAGCCAAGGGCGTGCTAATATATGTTGTATCCACTGGGAGAGAATGGCTTCACTTTCGGAGTTTAGACAAAGTCGGGTCGGGAAAGTGACCTTTTCTTGGAACGGAGGTTTTCCGATCAGATATGGTCTCATGCAATGATATGGCCCCCACTTCGCAGCCGTGGGGATTTGGATCTTGTCACTTTTCATCTAGCAATGTTTCACCGAGAACTGTTAAACGGTTCCGAGGTAGCACCATTCGGCTATTCCTGCCGGAATAGCCAGGAATTAGCCAGGACAGGTGCATCTCGGATTTTAACCTCATACAACATGGGGATTCGTTCTTCAAAATAACCCGTCCTTTAAAACAATTGCTGCAGCATAATATTCTCATTCTAACTCACCCACATTCTGGAGCACGCAATGGAAGGCCAGTGGACATTTACACAGGCGGACTGCTATGTCCAAAACATGGCGAGCTGGCTCGTCGTAAACCAGCAGGATGAGAAATATCTTATTCAAGTCTCGTGGCCACTGGAGTGGGAATCGATCGAAGATCAGCCAATCGTCAACAAAGCCAATGCAATGTAAGTGAGGATGCCGTTGTGGATATATCACCAACCAACACTTTTCAAACTATCTATAGATACATTGTGGATGGCAATGCAATGATGCTTTCAGCAACAGATATCGTCCGGCGGCGGCGAATGCGTAAACCGCAGGAAACATCGACAATAATCATTGGAATCTCCTACCCATTGACCCGGTCTGTTTACAGCCCTCGTCGAAGCTATGATTTAACTCCCCCCTGCGAGAAATATGACTCGCCCAAAACCCCGGATGGGAAGCCCAACCCTCAGGAGTTTGGAGGTGCAGATGCTTTCCTCAATTTCATAACGAACACTGTCCACCATTTTGTATTTTCGTCGATATTTCCTCGTGTATCAGTCTGTCAGACTGCTCTGTTTGGACACTCTTTTGGGGCCCTATTCGCCCTCCATGCACTCTATACAGCCCCCGCAAGCTTCGATGCTTATCTTGCTGCCAGTCCGTCAATTTGGTGGAACGATGGATTCCTATTACAGGAGGAAGAGAAATTCTACAACATGCCAGAATTGCACCACCAGCCCAGGGTTTGGATGGCCTACGGATCACTTGAGCAGTCTCCCATACGCGAGAGAAACCAGCCCCTGGAGGAATATGAAAAACGGTTGGCAGTAGCCAAGGAACGCCTAATGGGGGATAACTGCGACCAGATGTCTGTTCGACTTCAGCAAAGTAGGCGGGTACGGTCAGTCGTACGAAGAAAATATGAAGATGAGGACCATGGCAGTGTCATTGCTGGGGCACTAAGCGGAGCTATCTTCTATTTCCTTGATCAAGGAGATGAAAAATGAAAAATGAAGATCATGGTCGGAGCAACTTCTATTAGTGTAATTGAACCGTACACACGAGTGTGGAAATTCATTATTTGCTCTTCCTTTCCCTCTATCTTCTAGGTAGTCACTAACTAACGACAGAAGAAGATACATTGATGTAGGGACAGCTGAACTAAGTAGAGTCTATCTGCCCGAGGCGGAAAATTATGCCGGGCGGAGGCTAAAGATTACTCAGCGGTTCCCAAAGAGGTTAGTCTGCACCGCTATATGAACTGAAATTTCGGCAGAACACTTTTCTCTCTCCATACCACCCCCGGTGTTCTGCACAGAACGGGTTACTATACTATGGTAGCCTGGTCTTCATTGACGCGGTCCTTCACTGGACTTCGTTTGGGGGTGGTAGATAAGATTTCTTGTCACTCTGTATCTGCTGCTCTTGATGGAGACATTTGATGGAAGCGGTTCGTTTTGTAGTGATACATCCATAATCTCATTATTAGAGTGGTACCTTGCTCTGCCACTCTGATATTGTAGTTCGTAGAGTCTAGAAGGCTTGCATAGAGCACTTGAGACAACAGCAAGACAATGCTGCCCTGGCATGACTTGGGCCGGGCGCGCCGAAGGTTGTTTCTGCAACCTGTATCGCAGATGGAATCTAAACCTCCCAAATGGGCAACACCTGTTTTTTTCCCGGGAGGAGATAATTGACTTGCATGATCCTCCGTCGTAATCCGATGGAACAAGCTGCACCACGCAACTCTCACTCTTGTGTGCCTGCTTCAACCACCCGGGCGCGAATGATCTTCAGCTCATCCACGGGCTTGTCCTCCGCACCGGTTTTGACCAGTCCCATACGCTGGATCACCCTTAAGCCACTTTTAACTCTGCCGAAAATCGTGTGGTTTCCGTCCAGCCAGGGTGTTGGCGCAAGGGTGATGAAGAACTGACTACCGTTGGTATTCGGTCCACTGTTCGCCATGCTCAGAATCCCAGCGCCGGTGTGCTTCAACTCTCCACGAATCTCATCCTCGAATTTCTCGCCGTAGATGGAGCTACCTCCTCGACCGGTGCCAGTGGGGTCGCCAGTTTGGACCATGAAGTCAGGAATGATGCGGTGGAAGATGACATTGTTGTAGTAGCCGCGCTCGGCGAGGGTCGCAAAGTTCTTGCATGTCTGAAGAGCAAGAAATCAGTGAGTATTCCTAGAAGTTCTGCGAAAGGGCTCATACCTTAGGCGCATGGTTATTGTAGAGCTCCACGGAGAAGGAGCCCTGCGATGAGTTAGTAAGTAATTTTGAGAGAACAACGAAGCAATAATTACCATAGACGTGTCGAAAGCCACCTCAGTTGTCATGATGAAGATGTGAGTGTAGAATCGTGAATAAAAGAGCCGAAAAAACAGAGCCTAGAGTTGCAAGAAGCGGGATCAACCAACGTTACGGAGGAGCTCAGCGACCATGCGAGTCTCAATTCCCATTGGGCCAATTTTTCGGGCAGAAAATCAGTACCGCCCTATCTATATGATTCAGGTAATAAACACTACAACAATTATCGTGGTTCTAGAAAGGGACAATACGGGAGAATGCATACGGTTAATAATAACAAATGATGAAGAGACATAGAGGATACAGAGCTATATCATTTATGGTGTTATGACATCTATGTCATCTAGTGGGCCGAGACGATTGCACAATCGTGAGAACAGTCATGATATATGAGGAATAACAGGGGGACAACTGAATCTGCAGAATTAAGCTGCAGGGATCTTGCAGCTTAGGAGTAAAAATGAGATGAATGGATAATGTGAACAAACTACCTATACCAGCCCTGGAGGTGGTGGGAGATGTGAGCGGAAAGCGGTGAGTTAAATTATGCTGTGGTCACTAAGCCCCTCCGTGCACCGGGAAGCTTCCCTGGAAGGTTAACTGGTTACCTTAAAGAATCTCCCACACTACTAACCTTTTGTCGCCATTATGGTCTGATTCATTCATTATTCTGGTTTATTGGCTTCAATCCACTGTCATTTGCTCTGTGCTTATAGTCTACATTTTCCTGTCCACTATGGCCGACGTCAGCCCCGTCGCCGAGCTTCTTGGACAAGCCCTCTACCACTTCGACCGTCTGAGGCCACTTCTTCCAACTTACGGACACCTAATTGTTTCCGCTCTTTTTCCAATTTGGATAGGCGCACATGCATCTTTGACAAGACCCTCCTCCGCCGCCAAACCTCCGAAGAAAAAAGCAGACAAGGATAAAGATGAATATGACACGGACGATGAAGAGGGACATGGCCCTTTGCAAAAGATGGAAGGGCTTGAGCCATCAGATGCCCTGATATTCCCATTGACTGCGGGACTCACTCTCGGTGGTTTATACTTGGTGATCAAATGGCTGGAAGATCCAGCCATCTTGAACAAGATCCTTAGCTTCTACTTCTCTCAAATGGGACTCTTCTTTGCTTTTGCATTCCTGAAGGATATGCTATTGATGATTCGTTCATTTATTTTCCCTAGATATTATCGTCAAAGTGGACAATTGTGGAAAGCGAAACAGTCCGAACGCCTTTTCGTGGCATCTGAGGACCATCCAGCCAAGTCAAACTCCGTCCGGCATTCACCTCTTCCTGGGATTTTGGGCCGAGTGCCACTCCCAGGTATGGTACTAGGACTGCTTTGGAAGTGCCGAAATCTTTCTTACCAGCGTCTCAAGGTGCGAGCTCACATACGTGGCCTATTTGACTTCAAATGCCTCGTTGGTCTCCTTGATATCATCAGCGGAATCTTTGCGTTGTTCGCTGTAGCATACTTTGCATTCGTGGAAAACCCATGGTGGTTGACCAACTTCCTCGGTTTCTGCTTCTGCTATGGCACCCTGCAATTCATGTCTCCCTCCACGTTCTGGACAGGAACTCTCATCATGGGATCCTTATTTTTCTACGATATCTACTTTGTCTTCTTCACACCATTGATGGTCACTGTTGCAACCAAGTTGGATGTACCTATCAAGCTCCTGTTCCCTCGCCCGCCCACCTCTCGCGATGCTCCTGGCTCCGTGCCGCTGGCTATGCTTGGATTGGGCGATATTGTTATTCCGGGAATGATGGTTGGGCTGGCACTGCGCTTCGATCTATTCCTCTATTACCAGCGGAAAGGTGCTCAAATAACACGTACGGCAGGATCAGAACAAGCAACCGTCAAGCCTGAGTATCAGTCGGCAACCGGCGCTTGGGGAGAGCGGTTCTGGGCGCCGTCGGTCAAACCACTCCAGCCGGAACTTCAGCCTCCCTATCACGATGCCCGGCGTTTCCCAAAGATTTACTTCAAAGCTAGCATATTCGGTTATGTTGTTGGGATGGTTACCACCCTCCTTGCCATGCAATATTCGAATCATGCCCAACCAGCTCTTCTCTACCTGGTACCGGGCGTTTTGATATCGCTTTGGGGTACTGCACTTATTCGAGGAGAGATTGACACAATGTGGGACTTCTCTGATGCCGAGGAGGTGGAAATTGAAGAAGAAAAGAAGGAAGACGAAGCCGAGGACAAGCCGTCTGAAGACCAGAAGAGCATCTTTATGCGCATCTTCTCGGGTGATTACATGCGTGCATCAAAAGATGAGAGCACAACACAGGACAAGGAAACCAAAGTCGGTGACTCCAAATCCAAAACGAAACCATCCGAAGAAGACGGGCGTGATGCCAAAACAAAGAAGCCTAAAAAGGACCGTGACAGTTTGGACCTGATCTCCTTCTCCGTATCAATTCCTCGCAAGTCCAAAGGCGATCCCCAGACAAGTTTGCCGACGAATTCAACAGAAGAAGATGAAGATGTATCTGTTTCCAGGGATATCAATGGGGACAACGAACCGCCATTGAAGAGAAGGCGACGCAGCATGATGAACAAGAAATCAGCAAATTAGCGATGTCCTTTATTGAGTCTAACCAAACAAATAGATTAGCTGAAATCGATTATTTTGTGCATCGTCAATATGACAGAGAGCCACTATTTCGATCTACTCGGATACATAGCTCTATTCAAAAGCAAGATGACAAGAAATAATTGTAGTGGTATCATTCATTTGTATTGCATATCAATTCGATCAGCATTGATCCAGTATCCGCTTCATTTCATCCCATCTCTGAGCAGAAACATCCACAAGCTGGCGCAGATCATCACTGTCCACAGCCCAACCACCATGCTTCTCCATCTTCACAATGACTGTCTTCCCGTTCTCCTTGTCAACAACAATAGATGCCCGCTCTTGACTCAATCCCTCCTCGTATCCATCCGGATCCGCAAGGATCCACCTTTGCTGTGCACCCTTCTTCTGCTTCTGCTCCTCAGCATCGGGGATGACAACCGCCCTCCAACCAGCAGCGGCATCACCCTCGAAAGAACAGAATGAGCTAGAAACAGGCAAACCACGCAGAGACAACTTTTGCGCATCGGCAATATCATCCGAGCAAAGGATCGTCTCGTTATCGGCATCCCACCAGGCATTGGGAAGCTTCGTATCCCGAAGCGCAGCCAAGACAGAGGCCCAGGCTGCGTCGAATGGGTTTCCAGCCAGAGAAATAATCATGACATCAATGTAGAGCACCCAGAATGCCTTAATCTCCCGCTCAGGGCCTCCACTCTCTTCTGTATCCACGTCCATCCCCTCGCCCGCATTGCGGAATTCTTCCGAGTCCAGATTTGGTGGCTGATACCAGATGCGCAAGTCGTCTGCCCGAACGAGACGGGTGGTGTGCAGGAGGGAAAGAATTTGGTGGGAGAGTGACTGAGCCAGCGCAGAAGGTGGTGCGCCGGGTGTAAAGCCTGGCGCGCAGCCAGTGCTGAGGGAAAGGTTGGGAACAAGTAGGTTCAGATCTTGGACGTGGCCTTGATCTTCCTCATCTTGGGACTCTGAGACTCCCGCGTCATTTGACTTGTCGAAATTTTGCTCCGATGAGGCCTGCAACACACTCCAGGAAGCGATATCCTTGGTGTGTAGGATCTCTGCGCGAACGCCGCAGACAGCGGTTGTGTCGCCGATTCGTATGACTGCACTGCCGTTTGTGTGGGTTAGAGAGCCAGAATTGGCAGATGTGACACGGAATTGTGAGGCGCCACGACCGTTCGCGCGGATTGAGGGCTGGTTGCTCGCTGGTGGAGGAGAGAGGTGGGCGAGAAGGTAGGCGTGGGGTTGGAGGCGGGCGAACTGAGATGGTGGAAGGGATAATGAGGGAGAGATCGGGTTTCCTGTGGTAGTGGAGGACGCCATGACTAAAGAGAATGTCTCTACCTTTGTCAAAGACTAATACGAAAATGATCGAAGACGCAGAAAAAGCCGACGAGCATGAGACGGCAGAATAATTTCCTATCAAAGGCGGTCGAAGCTGTCACTGTTGCCTCAGGCATAATTTGGATTATATGCCAAGATTTTCACGGGGCCTTAGGTACCCAACAGCGTCTCACAGCCCTGAAAGAGCCACCTGATTTTCTAGGTGCTTTCATGTTGGAACATGTTGGAAGGTATAAATCCCTGTATAACGGAGCATCTGATATTATCTAAGATTCCAAAGCTGGATATGATACGACAGTTGTCTGCTGTATACCGCGGGATGAGATCATTGCCGTTATGCAGGAACCGACGAAAGACCCTAGCTCCAATGTCGAAATGACTATCTTAAAATGGTTGGGATGTTGGTTCCTTTGATTTTCTATGTGGGTAAGCATGGTGCTATCTTACTGTGGAGGTCACCGTCCGGGGAACTACAGTTTGCTACTGGGCTTCGGCTACTAAACCTCTATACATATACTCCGCATAGACAGTTTCTTCAACTTGTTCGAGCTATAGCCTTTTCACGAAACCACAGACCTTAGGCTAGATACTAGGGCCTATCTATACATAGTTCATGTGTGACGATTCCCGTAATTTCGGCCGGCACGACCAGCCGGAAGTTATGAGCTACACTATAGTTAAATTATGATTGGATGGGTGTTTTCGACATAAATACTAATGAGAAGAATAAAAATGATAACTTGAGTGTTCTGCATCTTCCCCACCACGCTAATGCGGCTCGGTCACCCCCAGTCACTCTGCTGCTAATATCCCCGCCTGTGATTGGGCTTCAAAGCGCTAAACCATCACATATCACTGCGGCATCCCTCCCCATGCACTCTGATCACTACCACTATGGCGATACGCCTGTGCTTTGATCAATCGGTCTGCAATCGCCGTATTCGATTGGCTCAATGTCTAACCAGCCACAATCTTCCGCTGTTGGGCTTATGCTATCACATTGCCGAGACTGCAAGCTTGTGTGACTCCCCGCTTCCACATTCTCATACATTTAGACGGATGTTCACTCGAATTTTCCTTTTCCGCTTCTTGACTTTGATGAAATCAGATATTGATGGGCCCAGTAAAGATATGAACTCAGTCCGACTATAGTACAAGAGAGGGAGCCTCTTGTACGCGGGTGATACCTAAAGGTAGGTTACTCCATACAAGACTGCTTGCGACAGATCTAATTAGAAAAAGTCACAGAGAAATATCACTAGTGTTGCTGACCAACGCACTTCAAAATGTTGAGCACCATCGTTTCCCTCGCCAAGCGCATCCATGTCCCGATCACGGCATCGACAACTGCGGCCGAGGCGGCTGAGATGCAGCGAGATCCATGGTCAAAGTCAGCAAAATATGGCGTAGGATTTGTCTATTTTGCCATCGTGCTACTGATAATCACTACCTTCGTCCGATGCTGGCATAAGTGGGGCGACAAGATGCGGATCGCCCTCTATAAAGAAAACCGACCGGAGATCTTTCGCGACGACTCGGTGCCAGACGAGTACGAGCTCCCGAGTGCAGGTACTGATGCTTCTAACGCCCATTTCTTCCCATCACCTACCATAGTTTCTCCACCTAAGAGGCAAGAATCGATACTTGCTAGGATAGTTCCCTTGAACAAGGCAATTGCCTTAACGAGATGGATCTTCTACCGACCAGTTCCCGTACTGAGAGTTGGGAAGATAGAGCTTGTTTTCCCATCTTTGGGAGTTACGGCAATTGTCCTGATCGCATTCATATCCGTCACATTGTACTGTTTTGTCCCACAGCCCTTATACTACTGGTCAATTGCGCTGGGGTCGCCGCCACTGGCGATTCGGGCAGGCATGCTCGCAGTAGCTATGATCCCTTGGATTGTCGCACTCAGCACCAAGGCAAATTTCATCACTATGATGACTGGCCTTAGTCCTGAACGGCTGAATGGGCTGCACCGCTGGTCCGCCTATATCTGCCTCTTCCTTAGTTTGATTCACATGGTCCCATTTTACATCACCCCAATCTGGGAAGATGGCGCTTTGGTCAACTATAGCATAGGTATCCCACCGCACGCCTATGTGTATGGGACTGGAATTGCGGCGCTAGTTCCTCTGCTTGTGTTGTGTATTCATTCTCTTCCAATCTTTCGCAATTGGATGTATGAGCTTTTTGTCTTTGTTCATATCCCAGTCTCGTACATCTTTGTCGCGATGCTCTTCTGGCACACGAGGAACTACCTGTCCTCATGGGCCTATCTTTTCACAACCCTTGCCATTTGGGTCATCTCATACACTGTCCGGCTGTTCTACTTGAATTGGACACACCCTTTGCGTTCGTCGTTTTTGATCGGAGAAGAGTCAGCCATAACCCTTCTTCCGCAAAATGCGATCAAAATTACCATTCCCACCAAAATGCGTTGGAGGCCCGGTCAATATGTCTACCTACGTTTACCGAGGATTTCTGTGATCCAGAGCCACCCTTTCACAATTGCCTCTCTTTGCAGCGACGACTTCCCATCTGCGTATGGTGAAAAGTATCGTGATATGACACTCGTTTTCCGGCCATTCCAAGGTTTCACACGCGAGGTATTCCAAAAAGCGTTGGAACATGGCCCCTACAAAATATACAGCGCATTTGTAGAAGGTCCTTACGGCGGTATGCAGCGCGAGATGGCTGCCTTCGATGATGTAATTTTCTTTGCCGGAGGAAGTGGTATTACCGCCATTGCAAGCCAACTGCTTGACCTCATCAAGAAGATTCGAGATGGCAAGGCTATCACCAAGTCGGTCAAGGTCATTTGGGCGCTCAAGGGCCCCGAGACAATGGAATGGTTCCAAGAAGAACTACGAATCTGCCGTGACTACGCACCTTCGAACATCGTGAGCTGTCATTTCTTCCTCACCGGCGTGAAGCAAGATGATCAAGCTGGACGGGACACAGTACAGGAGAAGATATACGGCATGCTCCAGGGTATCGACAAGAGGAACTCGGCTTATATACGCGATGAAGCTGCCGGCAACCCCGATATAGAAAAGCAATTGCGCCGTGAGAATGAAGACGGTATCGCTGCTCTTCCCAATGCGTACACGGCCAGCCATACGTCCAATACCCGCCAATACTACCAGCCTGCCATGAATCCTTATGGTCCCGCTGGATCAAATGGCTATGGCACACCAAACTTCGGATTCGGCGCACCTCAACCTGTGCCACAAAGGCCACCGGCAGTACCTGCACCACGGTTTGCTTATTATCAGCCACGTGTACGCGATAATTGGCGGACTGATTACTTCCGCCCGAACATTACTGAGATGATCAATGAGTTTTCCAAAACCTTTGGCCGCCGTGCGTGTGTTTTCGTCTGCGGTCCACCGAGCATGCGGGTTGAAGTCGCCAACACGGTAGCCAAACTGCAGATGCAGGTGATCATGGACTCGTCAAGAGATGAGATCTTTTTGCATGCCGAGAACTATAACATCTAATGTAGCGTTGCTGTCTTCTGTTGATTTGATACCCATGACATTGCAATTATATGAATATTATGCCAGTTCTTTTATTACTCAACTTCCGCATGTAAGACTATATATCGCGAGAGGTCATTTCTTATGTTCAAGTAAAATATCACCACATATGCATTAATCTAAATCAAATGCATAAATAAATGTAAAGGGTATCCAAAGTATATCAGAAAGCCACACATGCGAAGCACATCTCACTCGACCTGGGGCTTATGATTATCGTCTTCGGCCTTGCGCTTGCGCGAAGGCGTATCTTGCTTTTCAAAGACTTGCGACTCGTTCAAATGTTGTATTCCATGGTCACCTTCTTCGCCATCCTCTGCCTCCACCTTCTCCCAGTCCTCGTCTTCTACTTCACCGGGAGAAGTTGTAGTCTGGGCATTGGTTTTGGTCGGAACATGTGTTTCATCTTCCTCATTCCAGTGCAAATCTAGTCGTACGATCTTCGCGCCCGACGGCTTCAGTCGCCGATAGTATTCGGCCACATCACCGTCAACCTTAAATCCACGCGCAATGTACCATTCTAACCCCTCCTCGTTTGCCTCGTGGACATGCGCTGTAACAGAGCAGATGTTATAGTGTCTGACGAGCTCGGACACCTGGTATGAGTTCTTGCCCTTGAGGTCCGGCGGTGACGCAAAGAGAAGCGAATTCAACAGTGATGCTGCCACTCCACTGCCCCGATATGGTGAGAGAAGATGTAGAGTCTGAATATAGAGATTTGTGGGACCTCGGTTCCCTTGGATCTCAGTCTGTTTGTTTGAGTCCTCTGCCTGTCGGACTCTCTCTAGCCGACACCGAATGCCCCCGATCACTTTGTCGGTCCCGGTAGATGCGCCGGACCCCGGGGCTGCAGCAACAGGGTGGTCATGATAAATAGCAACTCGCGAAAGAGAAGCGACCACCGGATCAGTTATGATGGCTGTGTAGAACGAGTTTGGGTAGCGGATAGGAAGGAGTAAGCCCGTGATCCGCGTCAAGGAAGGGATATGCGCCGTGTTGACTTTCTCAACTGTTATATGGGGATGTGGGGTTGCCACACCAGCTAGAATATCATGAGGATATGGAACAAAGATTTCTTCTTTCGAGCGTTGCGGGCCAGACGTGTTTGCGACGGCTGATTGAGGTGGCTGGACTGGAGGAGGGTGAATGGGAGGTCGCGCAGAGTGGCGGTTGGTTGGGGGAGGAGATAGCGAAGACGAAGAAGTCGCTGGCCTTGTCTGATTCTTTGCAAACAGCTGGTATGCCATTTTGGAGCAGATTCAATGGTAGTTTGTGAAAGAACAAGCAGCAGAGAGGCAGCGAATGCGGAGGTACGATAAGAGATAAGCCCAGTGAACAACTTGCTCCAGCCTCATCCGTCTCTTCATCTACCCGAGTGACATTTCATTTGCATGCAAATACACACCTCAGTAGGTCAGTGCCCTATTTTCTGTCGATGCCTACTCTCTATTGTATGCGTCGATAGAACACCTTCGTTGATCACATTGTCTTCCCCTATTGTTGTTGGCTATTAATCCTACCACGCCCCCCCCATTATTGAAGCTCACTGACAATAGGCCTTACACTAGGCTATACAATTCAGCCCATCCCGATTGTCTTCTTTCTTCCTTTTGTTTTGGCTTCTATGTTTTGGACTTATTCTCTTTTCTTCTCTCCTACACCCGTGCACCCATTGCGTCAGCCCTGCATAGATTTCCAGTACATGGAGAACTAAGCCTCGGACCTAGCGGTTCGGAGCACTCACTACCTGTGTCGCGGGCAGACACAGCCGTCGGTCAATCAGGACCGGGCGAGAAATATTCGGCGCATCCATCTCCGGCCGCAATCCGAAAATGGCCGACTCCAACAGTAGTGGTGGTCGCAGGCCGACTTACCCTGCCGGAACGATCGCCAAAGTGGTATGACTGGCTCTGACCGAACTTCGGGATTGTGTAATACGGGTTCTAATGACTTCTTGTCTAGGCTACCGACATCCTGAACGAAACATTCCAGAACATCATCCACGACCTGGTGGCCAAGGTTCACCGCGAAGAGAAGGTGGCGCGCATGCGGTCCGCAGTGGTTCTTGCCCGACAGAAGGCGGAGGAGGATGCAATCATGCCGGAGGAAGCACCCAGCAAGACATCGACCGATACAAAGAGAGAAATTGTTCTCGACACCAAGAAGCTTGCGGGTATGCGCATGGAGACGGATGCAGCCGTCTTCAACCGCGGAAAAGTTTTCCTCAAGGGCAATCCGATGCAAACCGTGAAGGAGCATGTGTGCCCAGATTGCCGCCTTCCAAAACTCATGTACCCGACCACCGGAGCTAATTCTTGCCCCCCTCCCGATCCCAACGCCGAGTACTGTACAAATGTCCCCATGATCAATTCGCAAGGTCATGACGTCCACGGCAAGCTATTTGCAATCATGCCGAACCCCAAGAAAAAGAAGGGTGACCGAGACAGCACCATTCCTGAAATTCCAACTACCAAGTGCCCTATCTGCCCGCGCTACTTTGTCATGACTCGTCTCGCCCAGCATCTTGAACGCTGCGTCTGCGGTGGTCGCAACGGCGGCCGCAATAAGACTCCCACAGACAATGGAGCCAGCAATGGCAATAGCCCCAGTTCCTCGGCACCCAAGCGCCCTTACGCAGAGGACGACGACGAAAGTCCCAGCCCCACTAAGAAGAAGAAGCTGAACGGACCCAAGAAGGGCTCCACCACAAAGCCCGGGCCTAGCAAACTCAAGCAATCATTCACGGTTGAGGACAATGACGACGACATCAAGAGCGAGAACGCCGACTAAGCTTCCATTTGTTTTCTCATACCCTTTTTTTTTCCTACCATGGTGTACGCGGCGTTTGAGCTTTGTTTTGATGGGCTGGTTATGTCCCATGGCGTCTCTGGGTCTGATTTGGTCTGGTCATGGTTTGACCTTTCCTTCGAATAAATCTGCATAGATGAATGATGATGAGGGGGATGGGCTTTGTAGGATGTACATTACTTGACAACATGAAATACAACTGACCGAGGCACTGCAAGAAATATGCCACTGACTTGTGCTAATATCAATATTTTCTTTTGTCTCTTGTTACTTTAAACTTTTTGACTGGCCGAAACGTCTATGAGGTATACAATAATAGCGAATTATGAAGAGAACCTTCAACCACTCATATCAGGTTTGCTCTCCAAGTATATATATTGGCCTCAAGAACCATCACAAAAGAAAAGACTGGACAAAAAGCGGAATTCATGTAAGGTTGCAGATGTAATCTTTTGTTCAATTTCATTCGAGCATAATACGTATATAGCCCGTTGAACAATGAAACACAACTTGCAAGGGATTTTCCCATGAGCAGGCCTAGGTGCTCCCGGTTTAATCTCGGAGTGAACTAACTAGTAATGGTTGATATCCAAATATAACAAGAGAAAATCCATCCACTGACATTGGATATGTGTATATTGATCCAAGATTCATGGTGAAATTGATTTGGGCTTTGTTTGAAAATCTGTGCCTTCGTGGGTGGGTTAGCATCAGGCCCCAGGACCTGTCGACACCTGGACGTTCGACGCTTAATAAGTGCGGGGATCCGGCCTCGGGGGCATTTCATCTGTCATTCACCAACGCCGAAATGTCTAACATGGCTGATCTTAAGGCATGGGCAGCTCCTCGTCTCTCCCAGCTTCTCCCGCTGGATCCAGATTCTCTTTCCCAGGTCATCGACTATGCTGTCAGCCTCTCGAGGGAGGCATGTGCCGATCATCTTAAAAACTTACTTGGCGACTCCCCGGCCGCTCTAGAATTCATCTCCTCGTTTAATTCACGCCGAGAACCCCAGCGACCACCACAGAACCCTCCCACGCAAAGCAGAGATGCATCGAGATCAAGCGGAGGAGCCAAGAAGAGCAAGAAGAAGGCCCCGCTGCACACTGCCGGCCCACCACGTCGACCCGACAACTACGGCGATGTAGGAGGCGCCTACAAGAAAGCAGACGAAGAAGACTATATGTCTTCTCGAAAACCAGCTGCTCCCACTCTTGCACCATCGCAACATGGGTCCTCAGCCTCGTCGCGCATTCCCTCTCCCTTACCCGCATCATCTCCGAAGCCACCACCATCTGCGAGTGGCCCTACAATCTCAGACATGTTACCGAACGTGCGATCAAAAGTGACCAAGTCAACACGTCCAGGTGGAGGGGCGGGATCGTCGTCGAAGGGAAACAAAGCTCTTACAACCAACGATATCTCAGACCTCACCGCAGCTATCGCCGCGCTGGAGGTATCGACGAATCCGAGTTTGGGGGAGCGACGTAGTTGCACCTGCTACGGGTCCCTACATCCAGTATTTGATCCAGCACCCAATTGCCTCAACTGTGGCAAAATTATCTGTTCACTCGAGGGTCTACAGCCGTGTTCATTCTGCGGCACACCGCTCCTCTCCGCCGAAGAAGTGCAAGGTATGATCCGGGAACTACGGGCGGAGCGTGGACAAGAGAAGATGCGCGTACACAATGAAGGTGTGCATCATGACGGGGGTCCTAAGCCTACTGATGGGTCTGAACCTTCCAGCAAACTGGATGCTGCGAAAGCACACAGGGACAAGCTGCTTCAGTTCCAGGCGCAAAATGCTCGCCGGACCAAGGTTGTTGATGAAACAGCAGATTTCGAGACTCCGAATGTCGCCTCAACCTTGTGGATGACACCCACACAACGAGCGCTGGCGCTCAAGAAGCAGCAGCGCATTCAGCGTGAGATGGACGAGAAGGCTCGTCCTGAGTGGGAGAGAAAAAAGACTGTCATGAGTCTTGATATTAAGGGTGGCAAGGTCCGCCGAGTTTATCATTCCGCACCGGCAGAGCCAACCCCAGAGGCTAGTGAGCCTGACCCTGTTGCTGAAGGAGGCGTGGAGGACAGCCCGCGAGGACAACATACTTTCAGTAGAAACCCCCTTCTCGCAGCTGGTGGTCTTATGCGGCCTGTTTGGCGTGCCCCCGAGACAAAGCAGGCCGAACCAACGGAGCAACCCGAACGAAAACAGACTTGGCGACGTGTGCAAGATGACAATGATGACAACGAGCAATGGATTTTGGATGGAGGAATACATGGGCATACGACCTAAACATAATCTCACATCGATTTAACCGCAAGACCCAAGGCTTGAGTTTCAAAAATACCATTTCGAGCCATCTTCATAATCCTGAATGAACCAGTTGAGAGGCACTTTATATGGGCTATCGTCAACTTTATTGCTGGTGTTGCAGGCCAGCCTCACTCAGGAAAAAAAAAAGCATGATTACTCTGTATCCCTGACTGCGTTTGGCGCATTCTTCCTAAAAAAAAGAGGGCGGCATCTTCGGAACGGGTGTCTGATTACGATTACCCGTTGTAGCTCGGCTAATGACGGTGGTATTATCACAAATCCCAGGAGACAACCGAGCCAGTGGAGTCGATAGGGGGGAATATCTGCTAGCAGGGGGTGCTGCTGTACTGAATTAGAGGATGACGGTAGTCTGCCAAAAATAGAAAAAGATACATCCATCTATGTTACATTCCTACATTATGTGTATAACTGACAATGGATCCTCACGATTTTCGATTTTTATTAGGCCGCGGATTGAAATGTTCATTTTTTTTTTTGTCTTTGAGAGCCCACCCACTGGAACCCCGTATCCCCACAAAAGTACCAGACATGAAGTAGGCTTCCCCGCGGATAGCATAAAGTCCACAGGTTGATAGTGCGTGCATATTTAAGCATAACCAATCACTGGCACTCAATGTATGTATCATCCCCCAAACAGCCGCCTATAACCGAGCCAAATAAAACACCATAGTAGAAATCAGCAACTCTTAATTGGGGTTCCAGTCCCATCAGCAAGACCTTCGTGGCTGGTTCGTAGTACGGATCCGTCGTCATTGACGAGGTTCGGTTGGGGGCGGATATCGGCGGCAGCTGGAGTATAAAGGAAGTTTGAGACATAATGATAACCTTGGAAAGTACATATGTAATATGTTGAGCCAATACCTAGGTTGTTTCTTCACGATCATCTCACAAAATGCTCGTTGAATCTGTATTGGAGTGCTTTTCACTACAGAGGGTTCTGGGAGGCTTGATAGGCCTATTAGCCGTAGCGGTACGCATATCCCATCCTTTTGGCACATTGAATGCCCTCTATCACCAACCTCCAAAAAGTCACTATTGTGTCCCATAAGAAAGCTAATCGAACTCACTCCAGACCCTCGCCTACACCCTCTACAATCGCTT